AAAAATTAATACAGTGATCTCTTACCTCCTCGGCATTTTTACTTAATCCCCACGTAAAAACTTTTATTTCTTACAACTTTGTATAGAGATCTAATTTTTATTATATAAAAATTACGATAAACAATAAATTGATAAACATTATATCGATAAAATTATTCAAGGATAGACATTTACAGAACTAGTATAATTCGCCTATGTTGTCAGCAATATTATTCAAAGAATTAATTTCATGTCTTACATAATGTTGGTAGAGTAGTTTGGTGCCCTTTCTTAGATTAGCTTGGTACATATCTATTTATCTATGTCATAGATTTACTTTTACTAAGGAGGATAACGTAGTGATAATATTCTCTTTGTTACGCAAATACGCATATGTAATGAAATGGAAAGTGTCATCATCATCATCATTACAGCCCTTCACAAGTCCACTGCTGAACATAGGCCTCCCCCAAGGTATGCCACAAAGCACGGTCCTGAGCCACATGCATCCATCGAATTCCTGCATGTCTTACCAGGTCGTCACTCCATCTAGTGGAGGGTCGCTTACACTTCGCCTACCGGTACGAGGCTGCCACTCGAGAACCCTTCTTCCCCAACGGTTGTCGGTTCTTCGAGCTTTATGGCCGGCCCATTGCCACTTCAGCTGAGAAAGATGGAAAGTGTATTTTGTGTAAATTGCGGCTCTGCTTGTGGTTTTATGTTGTTGGAAGACGTTACTAAAAACTGTTAAATGTTACAGGATATTGTTTTTCAGTTTTTTAAAAATCATACCAAATGATAAAAACAATAACATTAGTAGTTCTATTATAACCTCAAAATCTGATTTTATTTAAATATATCTTTTCTGGAGCTAGTCCGCTACAGAAATAAGATCATATAGGATTTCCCTAATGATCGACAATACAACACATAATTTTCCGATGCTCTTGGTTCCAGGGCGAACAATGTACGGGCGCGGAGCAATGTCCAATCTATACCGACAGTTTTATATTAAAATAAATGATCCATATGTTAGTTTTTTTTATAGAATAAGGATGACAAACGAGAACACAGTTCAATTTATGATAAGTGGATGCTGTGGTGCATAGACATCTACAAATATCATCAGTTGCGTTGTCACCCTGAGGGCTAAGATTGAATGCCTCGTTTCCAGTAAAAAGGGTCTCTGGTTCTCTACACTCACACGCTTAGGTAAAACATGCAGGAAGTTGACGGATGAAGGTGGATTAGAAGCTTAGAACCGTGCTTCGTGGAGTTCCTTGGGCATAGCTTCCGTTTATAGTGTGTAGTTGTGTTGGTTGTGGTAATGATGATGATGACAATACGTAATATCCACTGTCGAACAATAGGCCTAAGCTATAGATTGCCTCATAGAGGAGATATTTGCCATGGTTATTGTGTTTGGCAACCGAACTTTTTTAATTTTCTTATTTATTGTTAGAAAGATGCTGTTGGCTAGCTCCTGTTTCATATTTCTTCCGTCGCCAGTTACAACACCCATGGTACATGTACCCTAATACATCGTAGCATGTCTACAACGTGTCCCTGCTTTTATGATACTGCAATACATATTTATAGCTTCAATTCAAATTTTAAGAAATGATCTAGTTGTATAACAAAACTTTGAATTTCAAAACATTTGTCACCCGGCTCGTTGGTCTAGGGGTATGATTCTCGCTTCGGGTGCGAGAGGTCCCGGGTTCAAATCCCGGACGAGCCCAGACGAATTTTTGTTTTTAATAAACCATAGTTTCAAACGGATCAATAGAGGAAGTTATTTTTTAAAGATTATTTTGCAATCCGCCGTAGGATTCTTTTAGATATTTTGTAATACTTTTCTATCAAAATTCTAGAAACGCGCCATCTATCTGTCACGAGCAAATTGTGCATAGTGTTTGTATTTTTATAAATCAAGGTTCTTATCTGCAACATAACCTCTCTTTCAATGACCATTATCAAAATCGAATTAAATTAAAACTTAAATAAACACCATTTTATTTCACAAAATGAACATGTATAAATTTGGTCTGGTGTACTTTTTATAAGTATTTATCAATTTTTTTTTTAATTTATACAAATTACCTGTGTTATGGACTTAAAAAATTTACATTGTCATATATTATTAGTACTTTTTAAAAGAGAATTGCTACCTATCAATAACATTAGATATATGTACTTAGGTGAGTTCTTGGTATAATTATTATGACGCGGGAACAAATCTATTTTTAAAACTGTGCATTTATTTTTATAACATATTGCCACCGCATCCGTACCGTCTATATATGAGTTAACTAGACTAGAGTTAACTAAAAAAGGACGTAGAAGTATATTTCAACAGTAAATCTGGCGGTACTATTTAAAATAACATTAAACTCTTACCAGATCCTAAATCTTCTCTCACTGCTAGAGCACATAATAAAGAATGTGCCACATCAAAATATGGATACATTTTTAATTTTATGACCTGGTTGGCCAAATCCAAGAATGCTTCGGGATCCATTATGCTAATTACTTATTTAGCACACAGTTTTAGTAAATTTTGTACAACTTAACACCGACAATAAAGTGACACGTCGTCGCCGTGTCTGCGACTAACCGCGGGCGTTGCAGCCGCGAGACTGGAACTAGATTGCTAGGTAGTTGTTATCTGTCGCGTTTTTTTTTTTAAATTATTTTGGTCATTCAGCTCAGCGAAACTATTAGTCGAAAGTATAACCACAGTCGTTTTTGACAGTATAACATTGTGTGGTTGTCATTTTCTATTTAAAGTATGTCTTTTTTTTAACTGCCTACAGTTTCTATAGTTTCAAAATTTACAAAGTAGTTTCAAGTTTCCGTAGTGTAGCGGTTATCACGTGTGCTTCACACGCACAAGGTCCCCGGTTCGATCCCGGGCGGAAACAGATTTTTTCTATAAAATTATTATAAGCATATTTTTTTATTTACATTGTACATAACATGTACAATGTTAACTTTTTCTCATAAAATATAATTTTAAGGGTGTTGTTATGTAGATATGTAATAATTTTAATACGTATTAAACGAAGTCTTAATAAGTAATATTCCTTGTAATTAATAATATGGGAGTTAAAAATCGTTTAGTATAATTTAAATTGCACACAGTTAGTTGATTTCATTACTTTTATCATGTCATGCTGCTGTAGAATTGTAATGGACGCCACACACGGTCAGTTAAAGTTACATCAGTTGAACTGATATCAGTTCAAACGGATTTAAGCCAAAGAAATTACCACACACACGGTCAGTTCAACTGATCAATCCAACTCACAGAATACATTACCCTGACGGGATCCAACTGATCAGTTCAAACTAGGGTTGTTGATATTTTTAGAATGTCGGATTTTCGATATATCGATAATTATAAATATATCAATATCGGAGTTTTATATATCGTGAGTTAATATACAGTAAGTCAATATCGGAGTTTTTACATATTGAAAGAAATATCGATATATCGGCTTTATTAAAAAAAATCGTAGGTCATTTAGTTTAGTTCATTTATTAAGCAAATTAAATCATAAAATATATGAAAATGTTAGACATAGTTCTTATTAGTTATTTTTTAATTAAAATAAGACGATTGTGTTTACCAATATTTTTCAGTAAGAGTTTTCAAAAATACTCGTTGTTTTATATGTTCAGCTGTTTAATATGTTTAGAAGCACAGATGCTACAGATGTAGCTGAAGAAATCAAATATTTAACAGCTACTTCTGATAGAGCGGAAGTAAGCTGTCTACCCAGCGGACAGTCGATGACGACAGTAACTCAAGTTCATAAGACGCCTAACGGATCAAAATAACTTGAGTTTTATATTACCATCGAAGCACTTATTGCGTCGTATTCTCTATTAGTTCACATGCGTAGACACTTAATGCACAAAATCGCATCATATTTACGTATCAAAATTCACTTTAAACTATTATTTAAACGATAAAACAAGAGCACCAATCCGTCGATGGTAAAGTTCCCGTCAAAACACACAGTAAGTAATGTAGTTATGGAGTGTAGAAGTACAGACTGTGTATTAAAAAGTGTCCATAGAAAACCGTTAAATAAGGGTGGCGCTACTATAACTACGGGAATACTTTATAGAACGCACCGAAAAATATTAGTGGGATAGACGACTTTTTCGAGGTTATATTTACTAAATAAAATTATTTTAGATTTTAGAGCCACTGAGCAGTTTAGCAGCACATTTAAACCGTCGACAACTGCTAAGTTCATTTCATCCCTGTAGCTACTCCAGCGCTATTGTGGAGAGTTTTTGAGCTGTTATTTACTGCTTACAGATGGCCACTTTTTCAACTATTCTACTATGGGAGTTGGTACTCCTTGCTTCTACATTCCATAAATATAGTACTAAGTTTCGTAGAGCATAGTAATTTGAATACCACAGAAATCAAAGATGTTTTATAGGTACAGATACCGTGTACGCGCGCCTAAAACGCTTCCATTTAAAAGGCGCCAATATTGGCGTATTCGTTCGATCGTTCCGCCATTACGCCAGCGACGTTCACTGCGAACATACATCACGCACCAGTGTTTTTAATTTCGGAAAATGACTGTTTGTGCTGTGAAATCATGTAAAAATTACTCTTAGAAAAAAGAAAAAGATAAGAACATCACTTTTCATAAGTAAATATACAATTTTCTGGTGTATTTTTGATAAAATAATACGAAAGCTGAATGTCAATACAAGTAATAATACTGCGCAATAATATTCGAGTGTTGCTTACTGTATGAAATGTTTTTCCCTATTTTAATGTCATTAATAGATGTAAAGCAACTGTTGACAACGGATATTTATCCAAAGCAGCCGATACGCAACCGTTGTGAACTGGTTGTTTATCCGACTACAAACGAAAAAGGATGGTTATGATTTTACTGTGTGTGCGGTTGGCTAAGCTGAATCGCTTTTTGGAATGGTGCTCAAAAACTACTTGACCTATTTAAAAAATTATTTCACCATTAGAATGCTATTATGACTTTGAAATGTAGGATGTATTTTAATATACAGGGCACTACCATCAACGAATATGTTTTTTAGCTAAACTCGTACAGTTCTTGACCGATTTTGAAAATTCTTTTACCACTAGAATATTATGTATAATTAAAGATGTCTATTGTAGGATGTATTTTATTATAGATGGCACTACTTTCTATGAATATGTTTTATTTGGTTTATCTCAAAAATTACTTGACTGATTTTGAAAATTCTTTTACCGTTACATTACTAATGAGGGCTTTAGTTGTTTGATTAAATTATATTATTATAATGATTATGTTATATTATTATTTGTTATATAATTATGTTATATTATTGTTTATTATGTAATTATAATATAATGTTCACTTCACTTTCATGTAAAGGGCACTTATACACAATCAACATTGATTTTATATATTTTTTTATTTATTTACAGGTTTTACAGTACAAAATGTAGCTTTTAAACACACAATCTTTTATCGTCTTCCAGTGGCAGGATTTAATTGATTTTACGCAATGATTTGATCTAGTCATGAAACTGTATCGATATATGAAATTTAAAAAAAAAATAAACATTTGCTATTTCTTGGCCGAAGTTTGCACTTAACCAAACTTACTTTTGTATTTTACTTAAGATTAAAAATTTTTGTCATTTTACTTAAGATTAAAAATAATTAATGTCTTCGCGTCAATATTTTGGGTTTTAAGGTACGAAAGTGTAGTACTCTATATATATTCAATAATAATAGATTAGTTCAATATATGTTAGATACATAAATATCTAATGTGATTTTTGATTTATTTTTAACTGTTACATTAATTATATCTAGTTTTTATTACGTATTTTCACTATTTTAGTGCGATTTTCGTACAGACCTACATAAAACACACATAACCACCCATATCCCTTGTGTGTGTATATCCCCATTCACATACGTACAAAAATACATACGCCTCGAACACATATTTTACACTCAGGTATGTCAATACGAATGAAATATAAAATCTCCCAAATTTTTGGGCACTCGATTCGCACTATTATTACCGAAGTCACGCACACTAATGCAGGCATGGTACGTAAGATATGCGCGTCACAAGGTACTCACGCACACATGAATCAAAGACTGGCGTCACTGTGAACGGTGCGATGTGTTAGCAACACGGTATCTGTACCTATAAAACATCTTTGCACAGAAATATAGTATACAAAATTAAAATTCTTCTTTAAGATAATAAGCAAATAAATAAACTGGGGAAAAATTAAAAGCATAATATAGTGTATATAAATAAAGTACGATAGATTGGGTAGTAGTAGTAGATTAAATTATTTTCGAGAAAATATAAAAAATTAAAACTTTTTATTGAAAAAAATATCGACTGTCGATATCCATATTTCAACGCTTAGCCCACCGCGCGACGATGGTATGGCCCCGCCCCTGCGTTATCGAGCGAACACACTAAAGCTGGGGCTATACTAACGGGAAACACACAGAGTACTTTGTATATACTGAAATAGAGACCAATCTTCGACCTATAAAGTGGCAATGCATAACTAGCGCCATCTCATATCCTTTGTTAGCAACTTTATTCTAATATCTATAACGTTTCGTAAGTATATATATATATATATATATATATATATATATATATATATATATATATATATATATACGTATATATACTTGTTCTCATTACAGATACAATTAAAATCAAAATAAATAAAACTAACATAATATTTACAAGATTTATTAAAAACAGAACGCCGCAAATACAATAACAATTATCAGTACATTTATTACACATTTACTTATATATTTAATGAATCACCAAGATGACCGTAATCCCAGCAATACAATGTGAAAAGCCTGAAACAAAGAGGTCTCCATTTTTCTACACTCACCATACGAAACACAGCAGCATTAAACTACTATATACTATACTATAAGCTGGTATTCTGATGTGGAAGTGTGGTCCTACGGCGGTCAAGCCTACCCATTTGTGCTACAACTATTATTTAGCTGCAGCGTGGCGCTACCAAATATAGGTTTTAAGAATTTTATTAAAAACATAGAACCAAAGTATTCTATTCTACTATTTCATTAATTGAAATTTTTTTGTATTATAATAAAAGTTTATATCTTATGTTCAATAAATTGAAACTGTTAATAAATGGCATCAAAATTCTGACTAATTGTTTAATTAAAGTAATAGACGGATCAATGTGTCTCCTCTTGTTAACATCTTTACCAACATTACATGGCGACCCTGCCAGGCGATGCGCTGCAAATATGCAAGTGCAGTCACGGCCTGCATACGAGTAGTTATTTAATTGTTAAATTGAAAAAGAATTTAACTGTAATTTACTTTGTTCAGTATACGGGTTATTGTTTAAAGAGTAGCCAAATTTTAAATTAAGTTCAAATATATAAATGATAAACCATTATTGCAGTTTTTGTAAATATGAACAAGTAAGGCTTCTAATTTTATTTG